GGGGGGAAGACTATAATCCTGAGTTGGCTTGAACTCGACAGGTAGACTCATAGAATCAACCGGCCTTAGAAGAAATGTTAATGCAGGGTGGATAAAAATCAATGATTAAGATAAATTGTGACACAGCCCTGAGCAGGTTTAGACCTGGTCCTGCCAGAAGATGCTCACGATCAAGGATACTGAGATAACCTCAAGGATAAACAACAGCCACACATGGTCCTTTTCTTACCTTGGTGGTGTCATGTGCCTTCAGAACATCTTCTACGATGTCGGGGGGGTTCGTGTGCAACTCCTTAGGAAGGGGAGGAGATGGGAACAAAGAGTGATGCAAACATGGCTAGAAGGGTGACTCAAGGCTACGTGTATGCGGGGGGGGAAAAGACTATAATCCTGAGTTGGTTTGAACTCAACAGGTAGACTCAATAGAATCAACAGGCCTTAGAACAAATGTTAACTCAACATTCAACCATTTGTTCAATGGAACTGGGGACACAGTTCAAGCCACAGCCAGTGTAGGCCCACTGAAGTCAACGGGGCTTTGGCGTGACTAAGTGGAAGCCACTGGTTTCAATGGGTCTATTTTGAACAGAACTCCATCTCAGGTACCAAAGAAGTCACTCTACTGATTTTATGACTCCACCGATTGACAAGATATAAAGGCCAGTTTGAGTTGCATTGATAATAATGCACAAGTAATTACACCACCCTGCACAACCTAGACAATGCAAAGATCAGCACGGATACGGTGGTCCTGCTATACGTATGCTTTCTCCCCAATATCTGTGAAGAATAGCTCTTCCTCTCTTTTTAAAGCCAAGCAATGCTGAATGCGACTTACAGGAATGTCATCAGTCCGATTATCTTTCCAAACTTCTAGAAGGGCGATCATCATCTCTTCGAGTTCTCCGCGGGACAAAACACCGTCCCGGTCAATGTCGAAAACCTTGAAGCAAACTAAGGAAGAGAGAGAAAAGTGGTTTTCCAAAGATCTAGAACTAAGGAGCAGCTGCAGCAGCCTTCCAAAACTCGGGGTGCAGTCTAATGGGCCGGACCATAATTCCAAGCACAGCAGTAGTCAAGCCACTTGGGAGCTTTATTTTATATTTATAATCTGTTATAAACTTCTACAAGGCCTGCTAAACAATAAATAAATTAAAATAAATTTAACTCAACCATGGGCTTAGTATGAAAACGTTTAATTACGTCTTTTACGTATGCTTTCTCCCCAATATCTGTGAAGAATAGCTCTTCCTCTCTTTTTAAAGCCAAGCAATGCTGAATGCGACTTACAGGAATGTCATCAGTCCGATTATCTTTCCAAACTTCTAGAAGGGCGATCATCATCTCTTCGAGTTCTCCGCGGGACAAAACACCGTCCCGGTCAATGTCGAAAACCTTGAAGCAAACTAAGGAAGAGAGAGAAAAGTGGTTTTCCAAAGATCTAGAACTAAGGAGCGGCTGCAGCAGCCTTCCAAAACGCGGGGTGCAGTCTAATGGGCCGGACCATAATTCCAAGCACAGCAGTAGTCAAGCCACTTGGGAGCTTTATTTTATATTTATAATCTGTTATAAACTTCTACAAGGCCTGCTAAACAATAAATAAATTAAAATAAATTTAACTCAACCATGGGCTTAGTATGAAGACGTTTAATTACGTCTTTTAATATTATACTTTTCTCTGTGTTTAAGTGCATGCATTTCTTAATCTTTTCGTCAGCCACACCGGAGCCCAATGGTGGAAGAAATGTAGCACAGTTATTAAGTCAGTCAACCAGTTCATCAGTAAATAAATTAAACCCGCAAACTTTATCCAATGCCTTTATGGTTTGGCTGTCACTTATTATGTTTTATGTATATGCTTATGAGGTTGTTTTAACTTTGATTTGGAAGTTGCCTTGGAAGTTGCTCTGAATGACAGAAAAGAGAATAGCAAGTTTAAAAATAAAAACTGAACTACAGTAGGGCTGTGAGATCCCCGGGGCGTCGGTTCCACGCCCCCTCTTACGGATGCTGAAAAACGTGGAAGTATCAAGCATTATGCACTGCATGGTCTCTGGTGGCCATTTCTGGCAAATAATCCCTGGAAATACATATGAATTGGTATTTGTGTGTTTTTTTTTTAAGTTATTATTTTCAGCCAATGGATAAGGGAAAAGCAGATACTAGTCCTGTGTGTGTGTGTGTGGGGGGTCCCTAATGTAATTCTTGGCAATCAACCCTGTAACTGTGCATTCTCTCACAAAAGGGATCCCATACTGAAAATTTGTAAACCATACAATGTGTTCAGATGGGGAAACTGAAAGCGAACGTAGGGCTTGGAAAATGAAAGGCATGGATATGGAAAAGCGGGCCAGGGGAATAGAAGAGATGGAAGGAAAGAAAAGAGCAGGCAAGAAAGAGTCTTTCTTGATAATGGAGCAGTTTTAAGGAAACTGGAGGACAAAAGCTACCTGCACAGCTTGGAAATATCGGATGAAATCCTGGTGCACTGTTACACCAAAGGTGCAACTTTTAGAGGTGAATTGCCTCAGGTTAAGAAATCTCTGTAGACATTGCCTGTTGCATGCCGAGTCTCATGACTCAGCATGCAACAGGTAATGTCTATGGAGATTTCTTAACATAAGCACTTCGCCTTCAGGAGTTGCACTATTTGCGTAACAGTGCAACAGGATTTCAGCCATTCATTTTTTTAGTCTATAGCTCCCAGTATCCCCCAGCTAGCTTTGGGGCAGGGGATTTTGGGTTCAGCAGTCCTAAAAGGTGGCATTTCCAATCTTCACTACCTGAAAAATGAAGGAAACAAGAAGGCAAAAAGAACCAGAAGATACTATAAAATAGAGGAAGCTCTTTAGTTCATTTATATATATATAAGCAAGTTAACTAGTATTTCCATCATGCAGGTGTTTCAAATGTATTATGAATACTGAGAAAAACAAGTGACTGCAACGTGAGCAGCAGTCTCGGGTGGTGCTTGTGAATATTTTATCAAAGAGAAATTAAAATTCACCAGAAAAGTAAGGTTACTGGCAATCCACCAACAAGATGTCCTTCTCAAGAGAGCTGATGGCACATGGCATGAATACTCAGGGTAATGTTTTGAATTAATACAGGCTGCAGATGATTAGGAATTAGTATTTAAAAGCCCTCATATTAAAAAGCCATCACAAGAGATTGTGTATTCTCAAGTCCGCATTCACTTCTAAGGGGAAGAACAGCGGAGCAAAGAAAGAGGCCTTTAAAAAGTTCGTAAAGCAAAACAGAGCGGCTGGGTTTTTGAAGGTGACCTTAGCACCATTTCACATGTCGCTATGGCTTGCCAAAGATCTGCAAACCACTTTTTTGGGGCACTTCAAATCCCAACATCCACCAGACACCATGGCCAGGGTGAGGTCGTAGTCCAAATCTGCCCGGGTTCTGCCACTGCTCACACTCACTCTCACACACACACACACACACACGAGGGAGTTGTAAACTGATGTGTACGTGCCGCATTGATGGTCCCGGACCCAGAGCACCCGTTTAAATCCTGCTTCGAGTTAGCTCAGAAGATTAATCAAATCTACAGGTCATAAAAGTAATAACGTCACCAGAAGGAGCAACCAAGAGCTTTAAATCCCACCCATAAATTCTACTCGTTAGGTAGCAAACGCTTAAACTGAGCCTTCTTTAACCTAGCGCGTTCCAGATGTATCGACTTCCAACTCTCTAGCATCCCCACTCAGCCTTGCTGGGGACAATGGGACTTGTAGTACAAGCCACTTAGGAAATCTGCTTAGAAAGGCGAGCCTTGGCTGCTCCCGAAAACATGGTGAACGGAGTATGTCCCTTTACCTTCAAGGCCAGTAAATATGGCAGTCTGCCTCTCCTCTGAAGGAGATTTGAATACGAGCACAGTGATAGTTCATAAAGAAAGTCCCAGAAGAGCATCTTAAGTCAGGGCTGGGGAGCCTCAAACCGCTGCAACTTACTTCCTATATCACCTTTGTTAAATTTCCCAGTTTTTGTATGCGGTGGGAAACATCTAAGGCTTAGTTACTAGCAGTCAAAGCTTAGACAATTATATGATGCTTTGGGAAAGGATGATCCATTTGGATTTTCTAGACTCTAAAGTCCTAGAGTTCTCCGTTCCAGAAGGTCCACCTAGCAGGCCGATCTTAAATTTAACTCACCTGGAGAAAGGCCTAGCTCAAAGGCTTCCCGGCCTAGCTCCAGCCTAGCTTCCTGTTAAAACAGGAAGTTGCGGACAAACAGGCGCCCCCTGGCCAAGGAGCAATCTTAAATGCATGCTTCAAAAAAAATACATGGGGCTAAAAAGCCCTTGGGTATTCATAATCACACATAACTCACATTTTTGTCTCTCAGCCAAGGGTCCTCTGCAGCACGCCGAAAGGCCACAGGAGATTTCTTTGAAGTCTATGTGATTGTCGCGGTTTTCGTCAAAAGCGTTGAAAAGACCTGCAAACGGTCGGCAGCAAAAGCAGCAGATGTGAATTTCAACCTGGCACAGAGAGAGACGGCGATTCCACCACCACCAGAAATCTAGCAATTTTCCATACCTTCGCCCAGTGACGGGTGAATGGGAGGAGAAACCAAAGGGCCAAAGGTTTCCAAGTCAAAACGCCCCGTCCGTGACTGAGCTTTCAGAAGCCAATACCGTTTCTCGAGATCAATGATATCTGATTCTTCCACTGCATTGGAAAAAAAAACACAAGAAGATTAATATCAGGCAACTTAAATCCTAGTGTTTTATGTCTGCATGCAAGAAGCAGATGCTTTGCACGAGTCGCAAGCTAATTACGGTAGGTACTGGCCCAAGAATCTTGGCTGCTTTGGAGTAGAGCGGAGAAAACGTCCGCAGCTTCTCTTGCTGTTGTTTCCAATCAGTGACTGGAGACAAGAGGCTATATTGGGAATTCAGCTCTAGGCCACTGAGCTCTGGCTGGCAGCCTGCACTTTCCAGTGCTTGTGAAACAGTGTACGGGAACCATGGTGCCACAGCTGGATAACAATCCTATAGAGCAGTGGTCCCCAACCTTGGGCCTCTAGATGTTCTTGGACCACAGCTCCCAGAAGCCTTCACCACCACCTCTGCTGGCCAGGATTTCTGGGAGTTGAAGTCCAAGAACATCTGGAGGCCCAAGGTTGGAGACCACTGCTATAGAGCACTGGTTCCCAACTTTGGGTGACCCAGGGGTTTTTTGCACTGCACCTCCCAGAAACCCTGGCTGGCACATCTGGTGGGGAAGGCTTCTGGGAACTGCAGTTCAAGAACACTTGGGTCGCCTAAGGATGGGAACCACCGATAGAGAGAAAGGTTATTCAGTTACACAAAAATTCTTAACGCGTATTTTCTGATTCACAGCTTGCAATTATAAAGCATTGATACACTAAAATTGGAAGAACTCGACCATATCCTTAACCAAGCTATTGAGCTTTGAAGGCAGCACCTTGAGTAAAGAAGACAACGTGCAAGCAGAAGATCTGAAGGCCACGACCGGGATCGGGTCCGAGACAGACCCAGCATTTTCCCAATTAAACTTCTGTGAAAGTTACAACGGGGCTGAAACAGGGACACGTTAGGCATCGCCTAAATATCCCATGACAAAGCTGCCTATATTTAACCTCCCCCACGTGTGATCTCATTCCCAGATGGCCCTCAGCCCTTAAAACCCATGCCAGCTTCGTAATAGGATTAAGCTTCAGGTCTGTGGACGGGCTAAGCTCAAAGAAAAACAAAAAAACACGAGGAAGGAATAGCAAACGAAGATCAGGCGAGGCACGAGGAGAAAACACACAAACGTTTATACCTGGCTCGTCCCAGGCTGTCTGTTCAGGGGATCATGTGAGACCCAGAGAGCAAACGGGATACAGTATAGGATTTCCCCCTCCCGACCAAGTTGCAGTAAAAGTACCCCAATAGCGTAGGTTGTGCTGGGCCTCTGACACCCTCCCTCCCTCCCTCCCCCTGGCCATGTGGGCCTGCATTTCTGGATGCAGGCACCCACGACATGGTATCGTCATCACCCTCAACATCTTAGAACGGCAGCTCTGGAGGGGGACCCTCTGGATGATCCAGTCCTGCTGCCGTTGGGGAGGCATAAGGGGGCGGGCGGGAATCGAACTCCCAACCTCTGGCTCCTGAGTCAGAAACCTAAACCACTGAGCTATCCAGCTGTTCATAGACGACGTCTCGATTCCTGAAGTACGAGGTCACTTCCCGTTGACATCTGTGGGCCGTTTTAATAAATGTCAGCCCTGTATTTCTACCACGGGGTGGGGCGCTCTGAGTGGGCCCTTTACGTGGGCCCGGGAAGGCAGCCACCCTCTGCCTGAGCCTGCCACTACCAAGGGGAGCCACGACAGGATCCCTCCCGGGAGGACCACATGCTCCCCAAGAGAGTCAAGAAGAAAGGGCCAAGTAAGTTCTCAACGGCTTCCGCTGATCTGTGCATGTGTGCTGAACATCAAAGAAAGGGCCAAGTAAGTTCTCAACGGCTTCTGCTGATCTGTGCATGTGTGCTGAACGTCGAATGAACTACCAGTCCCAGAAATCCTGGCCAGCACAGTGAGCGAAGGCTTCTGGGAGTTGTAGTCCAAGAACATCTGGGTGACCCAAGGTGGGGAACCATTGTGCTAGAGCGAACCACAGCAGGGTATCAGCATGGGAAGTCCAAGGTTGGGGACCATTGTGCTAGAGCAAACCACAGCAGGGTATCAGCATGGGAAGCGCTGGCTCAAAGCCACAGCAACCAGATAGACTCCTCACGGTGGTATCACCCAGCCAAGTGCCCTTTTGGGGTGCCGGACTAAACGTCCCATCATCCCCTATCATGGGGATTTAGGAAGCTGTAGACCTGAAAGGCCCCAGGTCAGGAAAGGCTACCATGACATTTTCATCCCAGTTTCCCGAAACGTCTAACAGGGTTCTTCTCTTTCCCCTTTTTCTTTCTTTTTTTAAGTGCAGAAGGCTCGTGATCCAAAAGAATGGACTTCGCCGTTCGAGAGCTTCCGATTGAGTCTGAGCGCTGCATTTTTCTCAATCAGCTTTCTGATCCAATGAGTCAAATCATCAAGATTTGGCAACTACACTGGCCAAGCTGTCTGCCAAACGCACAAACGGCAAGAATAAATAGAATACAAAAGAAGAAGAAGAAGAAATGGTCATTTCATGTACGGATCAGTGAATGAAATTAAAAAAGAGGAAATTCTGCTGGAATGTTATGCATTATAGATATATATTTTACTATGATACTAAAATTGTCACTTTTTACACACCGTTGCAAAACTGCAAAGCCACAACCTTGAACCTAGAAAAGTAACTAAAAGGTTTCAGTTACGCCATGGAAGGAGAGCAGTTACGCCTTTCTTATATTATACCTGCAGTATAACATAGCTATACCTTCATCAGTGGTGGGGAAAGGAACCAATTCCAAGCAACTCACTGTTTGTAACTTGTGACGTCTAAGCTCGGAATAAAACCCGGCAAATTGAGAGAACAGTTAGTTATAACGACAACTTATCTCGAAGTCAAGGCAAAAGGGTTAGCTTGGAGTCACAGCAAGAGTGATGGAGATGAAAGATCATAGCATCTGGCTGCCCGTAAATTCGTGAGATTACCCTCAGCAGCTATTTTCACTGTTCCAGCAGGGTAGAAAACCGAGAAGCCGAAAGTATGCTGAAAATTACAGGCTCCACTTTCTGAAACCAAGTATGGGACTGTACGGGGTGAGCGGAGACCTGCTACGGCTGACTTCTGTTTTCAGACTTCATATGTCTCAGGACTTTCTGCGGCCCAGATGCCACTTGTCTTCTAGAATCCACACTCAGGCAAAGGACGGCAGATGCCTTTGGAGCTGAAGGGGTGGGGAGCATGTGCCCTTTGAGAAAACGCCCGGGGGGGGGGAATGCACACTTCTCAAATGCTCATAAACACTGCTTAAGTCTGCTTCAAACGTCCTACTTTCGGCACATCACAAGAAGGCAGGATTCTCTAGAAGAGACAATAACGCTAAAGGTGGAAGGCAGCAGGAAAAGAGGAAAGACCAAATATGAGACGGACCGACTCCCTAAATGAAGCCATAGTCTTGAGTCTACAACAGCTCAGCAGAGCTGTGAAGGACGGGACACTTTGGGGATTGTTCATTCAGTGGGTCGCCAGGAGTCGGAGGGACAGGCCATATGATTTGGAAAATACAAAAAAGTACACTTCTTAAACAGCTGCCTGCCTCTCCATCCCCAGCAGTAAAAAATAAAACAACCACCAGTTAGGTCCCTGACAACTCGCTGCCGTTCAACAACCCGCTCGTATCTACTGCCTCACTCTACCTAAGAGCAGGGCCGGCCCCGCTGGAGAGCATCCCTGGAGAGGATCCTGGTTTTGTTCAACTCTGATCAGGATTTCAAATCTTGCTTCTCTCTTTATGCCATCATAGCTTCTTTAAAAACTTCGGAGGAGGCAGCTGTAAACAGTAACATTACACAGCATCTAGACCAGTCTCCCAGATTCTTTACTTCCTTCCTGTACCCTGTCCCTGTTTAATTTACCCCGAATGACGAGCTGTAATAATCTCACCAATGACGTATACTCTTCCTCTGACATGTACGCCCAGCTGTCTAGTGTATTACACCTAGGAACACATACCCCTCCATACACACCTAGGATAATCTCCCCTTCCGGGGATGGACGGACGGATGGACACACACACACAAACACACACACACAGCCTGCTTGGGTGTTTTACCCACCTAATGGGGCAATTCTCCTTGACTCACAACAGTAGCAGCATACCATATTCCCGTCATTGTAACCGTCTCCGGCCTCCACCACCAATTCTCGCTACAGGCGACCCCTACTGATGCCGGTGGCGCACCGACACAAACCGATCCGGGTTGCCGAACGAGTCGGCCCACGGGCAGGCCGGGGGGTCTCGTCCCGAACGAATCCCGCCATTCGGTCGCTTTCAACGCAGCAGCCTACCCAAGGGTTTCGACGGGCGCAAGAACCGGCTAAGGTGACGAGCGACGACCCAGAAGCTAAGAGGATCAGAAGGTGGAAATAGGGGGATTAAGCTACACCGGGAGGGTTTTGCTGAGCGGGCAGGAAGAGCCGGCGGAAATACTTTCATCCCTCTTCCCTTCTTGTATGGAGTGAACGCACCTGCAGGAAATTATTCACAATTTCTTCCCATTACGATGTAGACATCCCCTAAACCACCATGATCTTTTAACCAAATCACTTAAGAGAGAGCGAGACAGGGAGAGAGCATCCAAATAAAGATCTGGAAATAAGTTACTAAATTCCAAAGTATTTATTAGCTCACTTTTCCACATACTGTATATCTATACAGTATTAGTAATCCTTGGTTCATGCATGTTCTGGAGGGTGGGGTTGGAAACTAAGTCTTTTTCATTTTATAAGAGCTTCTTTGCCCAGCAGTCAAATGGCCGTTGTTACTTGCCACAGGTGACCAGGTGCGTCTCTTCATTTACGGAATAAATCCAATTCAAACCAAATTCAAAGTTATAGATTATGACAAACAAATCCCCTCCATACATGGCTTGTGTTCCAGGCTGATTGAAGGGCTGTACATACACCCAACACGCCCAAGAGTCTCCTAATTTTAAGTTCTTTAAGGCCTTGTCTGGCCCTCACCAACTTCCCAGGCACATCTACTAAGGATTCAAAAGAAGATCTTTTAGGTGGATGCTGACTGTGGAACTCCCATCCACAGGAAATAAGGTTGGATTCCTCTCCTCACCCCTGCCAAGACCCTTCTTTTTAGCCAAGGTTTTGGCTATTTAGAGGGCCTTAGAATGAAGTTTTAAACAAAGAATGCACACTTCTCTAAATCTGTTTCTTTTAAATGTGTGTTCCCCCCTCAGCTCTTATTTTTAATTTTTTCTATGCTTAATGGTCTTCTAATAGACGTTTCATAGGCCAAACACCCTGTTAGACAGCTCTGCCCGCCCAGCAGGCACAATGTCACTGGAGCTGGCAGCCTGCCGCTAATTAGAGAGTCCCTTTTTCGATTCAGAGCTGCAAGCAACTGCGTCTCATTGCAGGCAAGCTATGTGCACCACAAAATCAAAACAGGAAGTCTTTAACCAGTGACAATCTGCGGGTAACAGCGTCATTCGCACTGCACAGGCAGATCTACCCGACATGATACTGGGCATGGCGTTTTTAGTATTTTAATGTATGTACCTGTCTATCCACCCACCCCATTGTGTAAGCCAGCAAGGCTCCCTCACTTGGGCAAAGGCTGAATATAAACTAAATACACACACACCTGAGTATTGTTGCTGTAAATAACAAATTCATTTAGTACATTTTCTGTAAGTCCTTTAAGGTGGGCCACATAACCCCCACCACCACCGCAGCGGATCACATGCAAAACAACAACAAAACAACACATTCCCCCCCCCAACTGGACTTGTTGTTCAATTCCTAGTTGTCAGTTTTGAGCATCTAAGGCACACGCCCTTGTGGTCTGATCCCTGCCAGGCCCAGCTCCACAATGTTTTTAAAAATGCCACAGTGCAAGACATCGCACAAGGATTTCTCAGTGATTTATGAGTCACAGCGGCTAGAAGGATGCTGCCGGTTGCCTTCCCAGGGCGCCCTTCGGCACAGAAGAAATAAAGGCGTGTTTGTTTCTATCTCACCCCCCCACTTAAATGGCCGGCAGCAATCCATTCCCGTTTTCTGTTTTCACACAGATTTACGGCCCGCTATGGACTAAGGGTTCGGAGCAGGTAACGGCTGGCATAAAACAGCCACAGAGACGTTCGGCTGTCAAAACTGCACAGCTCAATTTAGGAGAGAAGAGTGTGGTGGTAGAACTGAAGAGAAGAAGGGGTTGAGTCAAGAGTCTTGACATAAACTGAATCTGAATACATGCGTAGCCCCGTAAAATATCCCACTAGGAAAATCTTCCACAAAACAGACGCGGTCAGAATCCTACCAGCAATTTATGCACCCATGAGTGAAATCATCCAAGTGCAACCGGCGTCTTGTTCGCTAGCAGCAATTTTGCAAGGTGTCTCGTGCGATGCCACTTATGCACGCTTAAGCCAGCAACAGGATTTTGGCCCTTTCTTTCCCTGTTCACTGCATTATGCCCCACCTTTCTTCCAGTGAGCTCAAGAATAAATATCTCAGGCCCTTCCATCTGTCTACCATGTCCTCCTATGAACCCTATGTGGGGAAACCTGTAAGTCAGTGAGTGACCAATTAAGTTTCGGGTGAGGACCTGAATCTCAGAAGTCTCTGGCCTGTCTCTCCAACTCTTGGGCAACACTACCTCTCTGAAGAGCCTTCTTCATGAAACCTTTGAAACTGGGGGGAGAGGAAGGAGGCGAAACAGACCCACTGGGGGTAAAACCCCTGCTCCCCAAAACAGAAGACCCAAAAAACGGTGGGGAGGAAGAGTTCCCCCTTAACCCCCCCCCAACTATACTGACTTTCAGCTCCAATTGCTACGTCCTAGAAGGATATTTACGGTTTAAATGAAACGGAACAGAGTTTGATTAGAAATGGCTCATGAGCGCAATGCAACGTGAAACTCCACAATTCTTTTTTTTTAATACAATTTTGGGCCAGGAAGAAACATAATTAAAGTCATCCGCCTTCCAACATAAACGTTATTTACAAGTGAACATTATTTTTCTTCTTCTTAGAAGAGCAATGTTTTCTTGATATCTTGGCTCATTAAATAAATTAAAACGGAGCTACCGAAGCTTCGCAGGAAACGCTTGGTGTTCCCCCTACCCCACCTCTTGAATCAAAGTTAATAACTTTTTTCCCCCTATATTAATCAGAGCTATTTTTCATGCCTCTGCAAACGTTACTCAAGTAGGCTCAACCGGAAACAGAAACGAGGAACGGAGTTTAAAAGTTACAGTAAAACATCACTTGAAAGCAGTAAGGAGGTATAGTTTGCCACCAGCCAAGATAGTCCATGCCATGACTTAATGTCTAAAAGTATCATCATCATCATCATCATCATCATCATCATCATCATTATCATCATCATCATCATCATGTGCCGTCAACAAAATTCTGACAACCCTTTTCAGGGTTTTCTCTGAGTACGTATACACAGAAGTGGTTTTTACCCTTCCCTTCCACTAGGGGCGCTGTGGGACTGTGCCGCTTGCCCAAGGCTACCCAGGCTGGCTCTTCTCCTGGGAGATTCAATGGGGAATCAAATTCCCAACTCCTGGCTCCACAAGCTGGATACCTAAACCTCAGAGCTATCCCATCAGCCTAAAAATATAGTCATTTTTTTTTAAAAAAATTGAACTGAACTCACAATCTTGGAAATCAGAAGCCACCAAAAAGGGCAAAAAAGAAAGCCAAACGCAACTATGGGTCTCTTCTAGGAGAAAGGCAAAGTAAAAAAGAGTTTTAAATAAAATAAATAAAAATCAGATTGTCCAAGACTCCTTGAAAGCGCCCTCAAATTTAGCAAGGAAAACTCTGGATGGAATTCTTACGATCCTTGTTCCCAGAGCTTGGTGGCCAGCACAAAAAAAAAACCCACTCTCCCCTGCTGCTGGGCCCTATCCACCATTCTTGGGTGTGCGCGCATGTGTCCGGCTTCCAAAGCAGAATAAATTCCTATTTCGCTTGTGTGGGAACCTGACAAACCCACCTTCTCCTAGCAAAAGTTCCAGGACGTGCATTATTTCATCCTTGTTTTCTCTCTCCAAGACTCATTTTATTAAGCTCAGACAACCCCAGCTATATTCTCAATTCCTATGCAATCATCTCTGATAATCCACCGTCTAGGGTTGTCTCACTTTTCTCTCACTGCTCAATCTGTATTGTGCATGTCATAAAGGGACGTGTCTTATGACCTTTGCGATTGAATGGGATAAAGAAGTAGAATAAGGAAGAGAGATAAGCACCGCAAAAATGAAGGGGTGAAGGGAAACACTCCCCCGGTCTTAAGCTCCCGAGTAGCCATAGATAATTAATTCTCTCTCCTTTGTTGGGGAGGAGGGAGAAGGCAGCGGTTGCCTAGCGACTAGTTTCTGCCAGTCACAAGGAGAGTGAGCGAAAAGAGGACATGTGCCCATCTACCAGAACCATGGCTCCGTGACCATGAAACTCAAAACATCTGAAACTTGGTGTGCATACTAAGCGGATCTACAGACATGCATCTGGAGCCTTATTCTGTAACATAGAGGAATTGTAATTGATTTTAATGTGTTCTGCAGTACCATCTTTGGACATTAGGTGGCAGGCTTTCCTAACCAGAACACAGTTTTGCAGTTAGCGTCAAGCAGGGGCGAGGGATGACCCAAAGGCGAAGATTATAAACTAGCTTTGTCCCCGACTATAGGCCAGCCCCACTCTTATGGGCATGGCATGGGCAAACCTTTTCTTTGAAGGAGGCTGTAAAAGTGTACCACAACAGTAGCTATACTTAGGAAGCGTGTACTCATAGGGCCACATGAAAATCAAGCCCACCTATGCAGGCTGGCCCAAAAGAAAGTAATTACGATTGGAAGAGTTACTTACAATGTGTGACTCCGGCCAACGTTTGATAGAAGGTGGGCGTGTCGCTGTCATCCGTGAGGGTCACATACACCCCGCCGGACAGCAGCCAGCGGGAAAATGTGAAGGCCTCTTTGTTCTGCAACAGCCAGTTCCGGAACTTCTCGTAGTTCACCTTTTCACCCTAAAATGAAACCAAAATGAGGAGTGAACGGTTGGCGATCGGAGGGATCGGAGGATAGAGAGAGGCTTCAGAAGGAATCGAGAATCATGAGCGCTCTTCTTGATGTCACTTTCCTTGAAAGGTAGTCCTACAGAGAGGCAGGATCTGTTCATCGATCATCCCAGAGTGCAAGATACGTAATAATGGGCATAAGCTACAGGAAGCCAGACTTAGGCTGATTATCAGAAAAAAACTTCTTAACTGTTAGAGGAGTACGACAACGGAACAAATGACCTCGGGAGGTGATGAGAGCTCCAAAATTGGAGGCATTCAAGAGAAAACTGGACAACCCTCCATCCGATCTGCTTTGGTTTCGATTCCTGCACTGAGGAAGGGGTTGGTCTTATAGGCCCCCTTCCGACTCAATTATTCTGTGTTTCTAAGATTTTTTTGCCCAAAAGATATTGGAATTCCTCTCTTCTTCTGTGTCAAAAGGGTGTTGGGATTCTAATTGACTAAGCGGGGTTCAAATTCTAGTGCTTCCTTCTACCACATCCCAGACTGCCCGGCTCCTCTGTGTCAGAAAAACGACAGCAACGGAAGCAGCCAAGAGGTCTCTGAGCACTGCTGTGACATCACAGCAGCTCATCCAATGGCGCTGAGAGAGGGGCATTCAGGGGCAACGGCAGAAAGGAGCCAGAAATGACTTGCAGAAAATGAAAGAATCCCCAATTGTCTGATACACAGATGCACCAGGCAGCCAGCAGGTAGTAAGGAAAACCATGTTATCAAATGTAGTCCTTGATGTGTTTGAGAGAAAAATTCTCTCTCTTTAGAGTAGCTCAGAGTTGTTATTCTTTCTCTGTCTCCTTGTAACGCAACCATGTCAAGAGTGATATTTATTTCATTTTGGCTTTTTTTTTAAATAGAATTTTACACATTCTTCAAGCACTCCAGGTATCTTGGCTTTTGAAGCAGAGGGTCTTGAAAGGCACGGAAAGCCACAACAGTAAAAATAAAATATAGCAAATCCAAGCTTTCCATTAAAAAGGGCTCCCTGTGTTGCATCCTTTCTTTTTTTTCACCTTATGGTGCCCAGCGGTCAGATCCTGCCGCAAACATGCTTATCAGCAACGCGCAGCTTGGTAAAGAAGAAATATATTCTGCGCGCCAGGCCAGGGAGAAACCGCACAGCTCTCTTGAATGTAATTATGACAAAGTCCCGTGGGCGTTACTTCAGAAAGATCTGACTACAAAGAAACGGGGGTCTTTTTTTTTCCCGGGGTGGTGGGAAAGGAGGAGAGTGCGAGAGGCATCAGGTCGGAGGAGGAAAGATTTTGTGATGTGCTCGTCAGGCGGCTCTCGATAAGGCATCTTGGGAGGCTCGCTGGGAAGGAAAGGCCGAGGCTTGGTGGGAGAGGGTGTGCTTTGCATTCGTAAGGTCTTGGCATCGTACCTCTTCACATCTCCAGGCAGGACCGGGAAATTTTTTGGACAGGAGGAAAATAAAATCTGCCCTCACACTGGGCACTATTTGAAGAAAATGGGGAAAAAAGAACCGTCAGAAGGTAGAAACACCAAATTATTGCAAGACAGAAAGGCTGTCTCTCCCCCTGTACCACGCATGGCCTTGGAGGGCCAACCACTGCTTCCCTCAGCAAAGGTAGAACCCCCCTCCCCAATGTAGGAGCATAAAACTCTGACACTGTTCGGAACAATGGCGCCGGCGCCCCCCCCCTGAGATTAAGAGGCGGCCGAAAAGCTAGCCGCCTATTTTCATTTCAAAAGGAAATTTGGACAGGATGTTTTTTTTTTGGGGGGGGGAAGACAAACCTGGAGGTTTTATGGCAGACGCCTTCACAACCCTCCTCAGTCTTCACAGGAGATGACCGGAGCCGACACTGCCAATGTTTTAATCTGGGCGGCTCGAGTGGCTATATTTTTTTTCCTGCTTCGGCGGAGGCCCAGATGTTATGGATACCTTAAAATGCCGGCTTGATGGCGAGCAGTGGGTACACTTAAGACAGATCTAAACAGCTCCCTTGGAGCACAGGAGAGGGTGAGGCCAAAGACCAGGAAGGCTACCGTTGAGATGGAGCAGCCAACAAGGGTGCTGGACTAGGCTGAGGTTATATTTCAGCTTTTTTTCATTTCCGCAAGGAACTGCGAATCGGTATACTGCACGCAGAGGACAGCAGTGGAAACGGGTGAGCCTGACGGCAGCATTTCTGGACAGCATGGACATCAACAGATAAGCTAGCATACACAGTGGGACCACCATATCCGTGGCATCGGTACCTGTGGTTTCAGATATCTGCTGTCTGAAAATATTAAATTAAAAAAAAAACCAGAAATCTGTGCTGCCAAGGCGTATTACCAAAACTGGCCACTAGAGGGAATCAGATAACATTCTCTCTGTCTTTCTCTCTAAGGTTTGCATATCTGCATCTGGGGGGGCTGGAACTGATTCCCCACGGATACTGCAGTCTTACTGTAGCCAATTTATTCCAAACTGGTAACTGTGACATTATCCAGTGAAGCTTGACTATCCCTTCAGGTTCAGCCCTGGAGAAGTCTTCTTCAACTTCTGCCTTCTGAGACCTCACCAAAGACGGCCTGCTCGCTTTGGGGCATCTTTCCATAACCCTGAGAGCTAGAAACTTAACTCCAGACAACACTTCCTGAAAAACAGAACCGAGATGCTCAACCGGAATTCTGCACTTCCCTTTTGAAAGTTTAGTACTTTACACTGCCCCAGATAAGAGGCAGCAGGAACAATGCCCATTCCATCTCGGTTCCTAGCCAGAATGATTTATTTCATCATTTCATCTACAGAACGGCTGATCTCTCCATCGGCCCCACGGCTGTCCACTCCGGCAGGGGTTCTTCTAGATCTCAAGGAGATTCCACCTTTCCTCCTCAGCCGTGAAAACAGAGGCTGCCTCCCTCGCCCTTTCGTACTTTGCTCCACGAACTGTAAAGGCATCGTATTTATTGCACAACATTAATATATACTGCCTTTCTGCCAGTGTTCTCTCTCGCTGGCGATAGTTCATAGTTCTAAAATAATGGCATGCAGCTTTATAGGCATGTGATAAAACGAGGAAAAGGCCACGGAGAGGGGAGCAGGATAAGGGTGCTGTGTGCAAGGGCTGGCGGGTGAAAGAGAAGACATCAGAAGACGGATGGAGGGCACAACGCAGCTTCCAAAGTAGCATATAATTAAATTTGGAAGCACGGGCACTACCCATTACAGTTCCCCATCAGCAGCCGCCACCCCTTGAAAGTCCAAAATCACATGCAGCTGGTGGATCAGACCGTACCAAGAAATAAGGAGCATGTGGTTTGTAAAGCTAATAGTCCTTGCCCATTCAAGGCCAACCCACTCCTAAATAAGCTGTGCTATGACTGGGATGGCTCACAATGATCTACCGCTCCTGGGGGTGAAAAGCAGACTCCCTGCTACTCGGAAAATCAGAGGGTGTCAACCCCACAAGCCCTGGGACTACTACATTATGGGATCCTGCCCCTCACTCTGAAGCAGCCAATCAAAATGGCTGATGACAGAAGCAACCCTGGGGAGGCAGGGGGGGTGACATGATGGCACTTGGCCCCACTCCCTCCGTGTATGATTGGTGCGCTACACAGGCAACTCATTCTGCATGTGGAAAGGCGTACAGCACTCAGCGCAAGAGGATTGATAAACAACAACGTTGTTCCATGGAACCTCTGATGGTCAGCCTGCTATATCGCTCAGGAGAAGCTGGTCCCCCTTGCTTTTGAGGGCAGGAGGAATAAGAGTCGGTCACGTAACATAGAAGCAGAAGAGATTATTATTCCAGCCCCATCAAAGCCAGGAGGGTGGGTGGGGGGAGACTGAACTACATCCCTACTGCGAGATTAGCCGCTGAGCAAAGAAACCGCTTTGAAAGAGTACTGCTAAGCAAGTCAATAAAAGTAATAACCCGCCACCATTAATTCAGAGCTCGGAGAGCACTTATTTACTAAAGGGTTCGCTGCGTAGCGTTCATGGTTTTGTAATCCTGTGGAAGAGTTTGCTGGCTTAATCAATCCGTGGAGGCAGCTTGCCGATCCCAAGAATCATAAACAGGCCAATCAGCATCAGCAGTCGAGGGGGACATGTGGCGTTCCAGATCATGGTGGACTACGGCTTCCATCATGCTTAGTCACCTCCTGCAGTGGCAAGGGTTTTCTGGAATTACAGAAGGATTATCTACCCTTCCAATACAGCAGCGGTGCTCAATCTTGGGTTTCCCCAGATATTCTTCGACTAAAACTCCCAGAAGCCTTCACCACTAACTGTGCTGGTCAGGATTTCTGGGAGTTGTAGTCCAGGAACATCTGGGGACACAAGGCTGGGAAGCAGTGCGTTACAACAAAGATTTTGGGATCTGTAGTTCAATAAAACAAACAAACACCTTCCCATGAGATTCAAAATATTCTTTAGGCACCAAAGCGAAAGTTGTTTTTATCTTCCTTGAGTTTTTGATCCCTGGCACCTTGCTCGGCAATTATTACTGCCGGTTGTGTTTGCTCAAGGCAATTTGCTAATGGCTTTCTCCTGTTAATTTCATTTCTGAGTTCCGAAAGCCATCTTGATTGCCTTTTGCAGAAAGACGGGGTAAAATAGAAGATTTGAAACGAAACCTGACCCCAGCTTCAAGAGAGACAGAATTCTGTATCCGGGAGCTGTTTTCTGCCTTTTTTTTTTACAAATCAGTTCTTGCACGTCGCCCTGAGCTTCCACGAGGATTTCTTTCCAGAACGGCAGCCAGTTTACCTCTTGCTTCCGCATGCAGAACAAAAAAACGAAGCAAAAACAAAAAACCAAGGCACTGTGGCCCTTTAAACATAGACGATTTATTTCCGGGGGAGCGTCCACAAATTATAATCCACCTCCTCAGACCCAGGGAGTGAAATATTTAGCCAGAGGGCGTTGTACACAGGCGTGCAAATTTGTACCAGCGTGCAAACGTTGACAATCACAGTTTCGTGCTCTTCGCAGGATGCAAAGAATCAGCAGGTCTCCTCTGTGATCGTATGCTTAGTTCAGCAGCTGATGGGAACAGGGACTCCAAAAAAGAAGATGAAAAAGGGTGTGGGGGGGCCCGCAGGGAGACCTGCTGGCATACACAGCTAGCAAAGAGGCCCTTAGCCAAAGAACTCCTCCATCTATTTTGCGCTGGGCAGGGAGAACGCGGGTGATCCACTTCCAGACAATGGGGAGTTTTGATTCGATTCGCGCAGCACAAGAAGAAACAGGCCGATGTCATGCATTACATTCTAAGTCTTGCTTACAGGAGGTCTCGGCATGCAAGCAAGACGCGCTCTCCCACTGCTTCTGGTAGAAAGCCTTTTAACGAGCCGTTGTGCTGGTCAGACAAACAGGCCTCCTGACTATGTAAAGGGGAATAGGCTCGGGGAGGGGGACACTTTTTCAAAGCTGGGGTGTTCCAGACTCCTCCTCCTTCGCCACCCCACCTACTTCAATAAGGCCAACAATTCTACAGAACGCAGGATTTGATCCGGCTTCCCTGCAGTACATAAACGGGTTTCGTTTTTGCTTTTTCAAAGCTTCCTTGGAAAAAATGGCAGGAAAATGGTGGAAATGCGAAGGCGATCCTTTGGTTTCGGCGTGAACCAGGATGGACGAGACCAAGACTGAAATCCCTCCTAAGCACTGACACTCGGTGCACGATTCTTAGGCCAGCCAATCGCTCTTGCAGCCTCACCTACCTCGCAGGGCTGTTGTGACAACAGAGAAGAGGAAAACCATTCACTCTGGGGGGAAGGGAAGTTATAAATATAATGGATGACAAAAATGGTTGTTGTTGTTGTTTTTTAAAATTTAAACAGGACTGCCTAGTCAAGGTATCTGCACTTTCTCCCTGTCGTCAGGTAAGAACTGTGGGACGTACCTCCACAAAGCATTTCTTAAGGGACTCTGGAACTTTCCCGTCGACCACCAGAAGCATCCTCTCCATCTCTTCGCGGAGGACATAGCTGCCGGATTCGTTCGAGAACAAGCTGAAAATGTCTAGGGAGGAACAAACAAAGCCGGAGGAACGTTACACTTAAACCCATCGAAGCCCCATCTGTAAACAGAAGCGTTGGGTCCCCGCTGATTGTTCTGTCTTTCCAATGGGGAGAAATTACCAGATAGCAAAAAATAAACTGGATAGATGGTTTTCCTCCTGCTATAAACAGGAGGCACTCCGGAGCAGGGGAATTCTGTTCAAAACCATGATGCAATAGAAATCATGGTTCAGCTCCATACCACTGACCAAGCCGTCCTCCTCTCACCCCCCCCCCAGCTACTGCTTAAGGAAAGCTCATCTTTCCATAGCAAACTATATGACGGGCATCATTTCTAGCATCACTCCAACAGCATTTAGGGCCGGGGGGACGGGACACTGTAGACCTCCAGATGGTTTTCCCCCCCCCGGCCTACAATTCCTATCAGCCCTGGCCAGTCTAGTCAAAGGCAAGGAATGACGGGAACTGAAGCCCCAAACACCTGGCTGAGACACTCAGAATACTGGGGGTGTCAAGAAGACAGACTACCAAATAAGCACCAATTTGAAACTTTTGACTTAGTACCTCCCCTCTGGATTGGAAAAAGAATAATCCAATTATTTGCATTTGGCTTTAAAAGACAATTAAATATGTGCCATTCCATTGTCTTTAAGAAAAAGAAAACAGAAAACCGCCCCCCAACAATGGGCGTTGCTGCTTGCTTAGAGCTTTAAAGCCTAAAAGCAGCCTTAGTTGAGTCGCCAAGGACACAGAGCTCAGACAAGGACTGTTTACAACCTGGCTAATAAGGGAATTAATTCAATGATCGCGAAGACTCTTCTCTGCTCTCTGTTCGGGCGGGCGATCTCTCCTGCCCTGCCTAGCTCTCAGAGGTAGAGGGAGAGAGAGAGGGAGAGAGAGAGAGAGAGAAAGAAAAAGCGGGCACCCACATTTCGCCTTCTCTTCATCTCGCCCCCGGGTCAGGAGCACTAAGCCCACAATCAGGTTGTTGAAATGGAGTCCCTTCGAGGTGCCGCCAAACGAGCAGTAGATGAGCTGCGGAGAAAAGAAGGGGAAAAAATTTATTCATCTCGCCCCCGGGTCAGGAGCACTAAGCCCACAATCAGGTTGTTGAAATGGAGTCCCTTCGAGGTGCCGCCAAACGAGCAGTAGATGAGCTGCGGAGAAAAGAAGGGGAAAAAAAAATTAAAACCTGACGTTTCTGTGCAACTGAACCCACCGCCGTCCAGCGGCACGGAGTAGGTGGGGCCCTTCCCTCCCTGCCACCAATGCCTCTAGTTTCCTACTAATGACCTAGAATTCCTGCCGCTTTACTCTACGCTGCACTAAATCCCGCCACGCCAAGTAGGGGGTAGGGGTAAGGGTAGGGGCTCAGCCTCAACCCTCTGTGGGCCAGACGGCAGCCTCCTCCATGGGCTGGATCAGGCTGGCCAGCCACAATGTAAGGATCACGCGAAACCATCTGGAGGATGGGGGACTTATGTCCATTAAGTGTCACTCTGGGGCTTCCAAACCTCATCCAGGGGCCAAGCCTGGCCACTGCCAGGAGGCAGGAACATGGAGACGGACTCTTGGTGGCACAGCGTACGGCTGGAAGGGGAGGGTGCCCGGGATCCTTCGCAATGCCGTACAGACATCTGGGGCGCCCCAAGCCATGCAGCAGCCAAGCAGCAGGAATGGGGGGCTCAAATCATAGGACCTGCTGTCACGTCGGACTTCAAGTCGTACCGGAGACTTGACTCGGGTGTTGTTTTTAATTGGACCTGCTGTCACGTCGGACTTCAAGTCACACCGGAGACTTGACTCAGGTGTTGTTTTTAATTCAATGACTCAGATTCGACTCTCGACTGTGAACCCACCCAACCTTCCCTTTTTTTCCTGGGGGGGGGGGGAAGTGTGTTTTAATAGGGACTCCGTTTTGGGACCTGGTACCAAAGACTCAGACCTGGGACTCTAGACTCCAAAACTTGGCCCCCTCCCTGGCCAGCAGCCTCCCCACTGACACCACAGGACAGCCTCGCCAGGACAGGCCACAATGCATGTTCTTAATTCACAGACCATGATAACGGTGCTTATCCTCCCCTCCCCACCCCTTAGGCGACAGGTCCTTACGACCCTTCTTGACTCATCTGCCCTCATACACGGACCTTATATCATGTTACGTATTAGGTACCCCTCGGGCCGGAGCGCTAGGCAATTATTTATAGGGCAGAGAGTCATGTGAGGAGAGCCGGCCCGCCAAATCTCCCCCCTTTGCCCGACCGTTCTTTAAAATAACCCGGGCACCTCCTGCTTCTACCAGGAGCAAAGCGTGGTGGTGGAAATGCCAGATGGGCCCCCGCACGTCAGTCATGGCTGAAGTTCTTTATCTCAGATTGGTTTATTTATGCAAAAGAGGTCCCCTAAACTAGAATTCCCCCACAGCCTCTCAGGGAAATGCAGATCACGGCACGTAAAAATGAACGTGAAATCTGCCTCTTACACACACACACACACACACACACAGAGAGAGAGAGAGAGAGAGAGAGATCGGTAACCCTTTTGAAGATTGTGCTTGTATTTAAGCAAATGTGATACAGGATCATTAATAGCCTTAAAGGCTACCGACCTTCTAAAATTCTCCAAGTTAAGATCCCTTTGTTTCAAATATGCTGAAGGTTTTTTGGAGGATGGGTTGGGTCGAGGCACGTATTGACATGGGCCTCTGGCTCCCTGTTGTTGGGTAATGGTTATTTTAGACACTATTACTACGAACTGAGGTTGAAAATAATGGCCAGATTCCACCTGGCTACAGCCTTTCCTAGCCTTTTCAAAGGCAGCAGGAAAAGAGGAAGAGCAAATACAAGACGGATTGAGTCCCTAAAGGAAGCCACTGGCTTGAGTCTGCGAGAGCTGAGCGGCAGGAGTTGGAGGACAGGACATTTTGGAAACTGCTCACTGATGGGGTCGTCAGAAGACAAAGGCAATTTGACAGCTCCTAACCATTTTTTAGATTGTTTCCTTGTTCGCTGGCCTTTCTTCGTACGCAATCCTCGGGTGTCTTACAGAAGGAAATATGGAAATACTTCCATTTACGAACACATTGGGTGCCCACTAGAAAGCAAGAAATGAGGGGGAGGAATCGGACAAAACCCCATCAACAAAAAGCTTCCAACATGTTGAACAAGAGGCTTTATTCATTAAAAGGGAGCAATGCATTTCAGCCAACTCACCATGGCCTGTGGGGCTTGCAAAAAATTTTTTTTTAAAGCCAAAGTATAATTTATAAATAGAGCATCTTCTGCCCATTATGACACCTGTTTGCCAGTTCATGAATCTTGGAACCAGGCTGCCAGGAAATCTCTGTAAGCTTTCTTGAATTATTCGCACATATTAATCACTGCGGTTACAGACTTCAATATTTCTAACGCCTGTCTTATGAAATGTTTTCTCATTCTGAGAACCGTTAACCCCCCCCCATCCAACTTCTTCCATGTAACACGGCCACGAAATAATCACTTGGCTGAATTATTTCCACAGTTGCAGGTTTCCTTCTTGTAGACTTGGTACATCAACGCTTCCCTCTCCCAAAAAGTTCATCTTGATGTGGGATTTCTGTTTTGGAGTCGGTTCTATGCAAAAACCAGGAGACCATTCCATACAAGCCAAACCTGGCCAGGTCGCCCAAGGAATTCTACAAAAACAAGCTCAGTAGGTGATAAGGACCGGGAGACAGGCAGATCTGGGAGAAGCAAGAAAGTTCGTGCTAATTCGATGGTTCCTTAGACGGTTCTCAAGAGGAGAAGAAACGGAAGGAGGCAACAAGCCGGAGGATGCTTTGGCTGGCCACGTGGAGGCAAACGAAGAATTATAAGGAATGATCATGTGCCGGAGATGTGACAGCCTTCAACGCCAAGGTCAGGCTACGTCTTACAACCAAACACATGATTAGAAGCTGAAATCATCACCGGAAAAAGGGAGAAAAGCAGCTGTTGGTAGGATCAAATTTCCAGCTTCTTGCGGAATGTATTTTCCCACATCACATCTCCTCTTCAGTGTAGACCCCAAGGGACCCGAGACCCCCCAGAAGGATGTACATGCAGTGATTCCCCCTTTGCGATGTGCTGCTTGTCTGTCCCGGCGTTCTAACCATTACACCGCACTGCCTCAAGCTGGTGTGTGCATGGGTTTCAAGTCCTGTCTATCTCAAACTGAGCCCCAATCTTGGTGCCCCTGAATCTGGTTGACAAGGATAGTGGGGGGCCCTTTTTCTCAGAGCCCCGTATGACCCGCCTGCTGAACAAACTGCAGCAAGATGATTGTTTTTCTGTTGCTGTTCAGCGGCGGCTGCTGTTTTTTAATTTCACTTTGTACTACTTCCATTGCCGGTTTCTTAGGGTTTTGGAATTTAATTTCTTAGCACAGAAGACTGGATCAATAAAAAAAGCTTCTGGTCAAAAGAAACCGGGGAAGCAGGCTGCTTGACGTGGGATGCTAATGAGGCAGCCTACAATCCTGAGAATCAGGTGATCTCCGAGCATCGACGCCTCTGCCTCTGCCGGCTAGACAGATCTCGCTGCTTTCATCTAGGAGCTGGGAACCAATCTTTTATCCAACTGTATTGACTTGATGGTTTTGTCCAGGCTGGCGCTCGGTCAGCCCTGGAGCACACCTTACTTTGCTGCCAGAGGGAAGTGACAAGATGGCGGTCGGTCGCTCAGCAGCAGGACAGTTCAGGGGACGCAGGGCGGATCTTGTGGCACACACAGCTAGGCCCCCCTCCCTCCAAGAGAGGGATGCCTGGGAGCCCAAACGACAACCTGACTGTTTCCATCCTCTCTTCCCTGGTCCACAGGCATGTATCACCCCTGAGACATTTCCTTCCCTCTGCCCGAACACTCTAGAAACGTTTTGTGTTTTTCGGCTCCTGGAATTCTCAGCCAACTAGAGCAGCTGGAGAGACACCTGAAAATTAGCTCCTGGGAGGCCCTTCAAAAAGAAAACAGGAGGAGTGTGGCTGATTTGGTTGGAAAAATGATAATTTTGAGTTCCCAGAACCCCACATCCAGCATAGAAAAGAAGGGAGTTTTCCAAACTGCCTTCTGCCTCAAAGCGCAGTTCTTCGGCTTCTGAACCAGGCTACGACACAAATATTTTAAACACCGGTTTTCTGGATCTGCAGTCCAAAACCCTGCAGGGTCCTTCCTTGCTGACAAATATTATATTTCTCGCTTCTCATGGACGCCCCGAAAATATCCTCCTGGCCAGATGGAGATCAATCCGCAGCCCACTTTCAAGATGCAAGCGGCAACTGTCAACACTTTAAACAATTAAGCTGGCAGAGCGCTTTTCACAATATCTACCCACCCTCCCTGATTACCTATCAAGATTTCTCGGTGCTGGAAGAAGGGGGGAAAAAAGCTGACAGCTCCAAAGCAAACATGCTGGCGCTGCAGAGTTCAACCTGTCGGCTGCACTGATGGTTCTGGGAAAGGAAGGAAGGATTGCCTCAAACTACATGAACCGCTGAGAAGCAACGGCCAGCCTGAATGCCAGGACACTCTCGGACGCAGTGCGAAGTTTACAAGAGTAACTGTTCCAAGGATAGGGTCATGGAGGAGGCTGCCCGCTATGTCTCTGAAGGATGCTGTGTTTCTCAGCTTGTCCACCTCCAATCACTCTCCAGTGGAAGGAGGCTGTTATGCCATACATTTACATTGAATTAATTCACTTCCTCTCCTAGGGAAGGACTCAACAGGATGCCATGGCAGCAGCAGAGGCTGCCTGCTGGATCTCTGCAGGAGTTTCTGCCCTGGCCTGATCTCCTGGCCACATTCTATACACTAAGGGTGCAAACACCGGGCCACTCAAGGGCATAGCAATAAACTGGCACTAGTTTAACTAGTTGCTGCTTGCATTCCTCTCCCCTGGTCAGTCCTTGAGTTGGTGCCTGACAAGGAATGCGAGCGGGAGCTCCTTCACTTCACTGCTGCAATTTACGCTCTTGGGCTTTTCGATGGTGTAAAAAAATCAATAGGCTTCTGGCCGCTGTAGGTTTTAATTGAAACATACAATATCAGAATAAGCAGCGACCACGTGGGAGTTTGCAGTGTCGTTCGGCTCTTGGGCGAAAAGGCACGGTTGCCAAGACGGTTCCTATTCTGCACAATGAAAAATCCCAGCTTCTGCATGCAAAGGATGCAAATATATCACAGTATGGTGGCAAAGCAGGCCAGAGCTTCTGGAATCTGCCATTTATCTGTTGCCCTCGAAGGATGAAAGTGAAGGGCCACACGGATGCAGAGGGAAAATAAACGAAGCACAAAAAACACATTTTCTCCATTGCATTCAAAAGCCCTTCCTCCACTAGACCTCGGCCACTTAACCCTCCCTTCTTGCTCTCCTCTGAATTACAAGGTCTAGAAATTTGACTTGCTTTTCATTAAGCCCAGACTCTGTGCCAGATTCAACATGGAAGCGAACATATGTGGCCCCCTTTTGTGTCTGTATTCTCTCCCTTCCCATATTTGTGCTTGAAATCTGCTTTTCTTTCGTATGTGCACAGTACCGCGGGCAAGAGATGCAGGCAGATCTATCAATAATGGCTTCTTCAAGTGACAAGAGAAAAAAAAAATCATTAGCCCATTTCGTCTTGAGATAAATAGACTGCACCTCATTCTGACTTCGCTTAATGGGAGATGCCTAATCATTCATACCAGGAAAATCAATAGATGTGCATCTCCCAGGTGGCCTCCAGGATGGAAAGCGTTTTTGAAAAAAAATTATTTAGTACGAGCGCCTGGCATTTTCTGAGCCTTAACTAGAAGCTGTCTTTTCTTTCATGTTTCTGTTCTGTAGTAACTAAGGCTAGCTAGCCCTGAAAACGCAGTTGCAAAGATTCTGTGACTTTCAAATAGTCTTTGATTGGTTTTTTTTTAAAAGCATACTCTATTATTAGTTCTGGGGTACAGGACAGAATCGGCTCCCTTAAAAAAAGTAAATAAACACAAACATTGTGACTTAAGAAATGAGCTCACAGAACAAGGACCACGAGGTGGTTCTCTGTGATTCGTGAAGGTGGCAACAAACCAAGCTAGATGAGTACTTTAACAAAAGCAAGGCGAAGCAGAGCGCTTTCTAATAAGCAGAGCGGTCACCCAAAGGCCAGGGTACCTCTTTCGCCATTAGAGGGGCTGCCTGCCTGTGTCCAGATTCCACCCAAGGTCTGCCAGCTGCCAACCCCTACGTGAAACATGATGATAGCCAGCAGAAAACATAATTCTTTGATTGCTATTTCAATTTCTGGCTCCTGGAGAAGTAATTAGCCAAGAGATGGAGGCAGGTCAGAATCCTACCCTAAGCAGATAAACAAGCTGTGAAGAATGGTATTTACTAGCAAATGCCCACCTAATGTGCAGGTGAAGTATTTCTGTTCTTATAGAGGTCTCCTGCAGGATCGCCCTCCCTGGATTCACATATGTGTCCTGTCTCTAATCTGGGCCCTTTTAAGGAATACTAAAATAGCTGCTCTTATGTCACCAGCACTGTGGATTACACTTAAATGAAATGGATTTTAAAAGACAATTAAATTTTTTAATTGGATTTAAAAAAAATAAATAAATTGGGATTTAAATCACAATTTAAATAACTGATTTTTAACCACACCTCTCAAACCCCCATGAGGACTAGAAACCTGGGCCTGCTTTTTTTAAAAAAAATAAACACACACACAAGCTGGATTTTTCAAGACACTGAAGGGCAGACACCAGGCCACTGCCTACAGAACTGGGGCCCCTGAGAATCCACAAGCGCATTTTCTACTCTGCATTGATTTTATCAGTACATATTACACATGTCACAGATAAGAGGAAATTGGAAAACTAAAGGAATTCACTGAGGAGGGGTTTAAACATTTATGGATGAATGCTTGATAAGTGGGAAAGGAGACGCTGTATTTGTGTTCACTGCCGCTATCTGCTGCATTATTCAGAAACCTGCCTACCTAGCTTCGCCGGAGCAACGGCACAAGTGTTTTATTATGTAAATTCGTTTAGGATAAAGATTTCTCCAGATTCACAAGTACGTTTTCCGGGATCAGCGTCAGTTATCTTCCACGTCTACAGAAGTCTGAAATGTCTACCCCTTTATTATGATTTCAAAAGGTATACATAGTGATTTTTTTCACCCAAGAATAACATTTCCAGTTTCCAGCTGTGACGCTCGGGTGCCACATCGCTAACTGGCACCACTGCCAAGCCCCCAAAATGAGGAATCCGAATAGATAGGGTGCTGTGTCAATCCACATCAACAAACCAGGTCTAGCAGTTTGGGGCCCCACAAGGAGCAGGTCTTGAGTCGAGTGTGGGCGGGCATGGGGGGAATGGCCATTTTCTCTTCCACTCCATATCTCGGGCCAATCTCATGCTTCCGCCCTTCACTTTATCAAGTCTGGCACTTTCAGTCTAGAGGGGTGGTTCTCGACCTTGACTCCCCTTGGATTGCAACGCCCAAAAACCTTCCCCCCCCCCGCGGCGCTGGCTGAGATTTCTGGGAGCTGTAGTCCAAGAACATCTGTGGACCCAACCCCTAGAGGGACTGCTCTAGATCAGTGGTCCTCAAACTTTTGTCCCCAAATGTTCTTGAACTGCAACTCCCAGAAATCCTGGAGAGCACAGCAAGTGCTCCTGCTGTCATCTGCTTGGCACAGCACAGCTCCCAGTCCCATGTTCAATGAATCCATGAAAATGATGACCTCATGGTCAAAGTCCGGTACAATCAGGACAGGTTTTGAAGACAGTGTTCTTTTCACACGATCGAAGGCTACCTGGCATTCTGATGTCCACTGGATGTTTTCAGCTTGCTTTTTTCAAATTAAGTTTATTAACGGAGCAGCTACTTCTCTATAAATAAATAAATAAAGTACTGTGAATCTTCACGGCCCCACCTCTACGCGGTGGACATAAAGGGGTCCCAGAACAGACCTGTACGAAGAGCTAGAAATCCCAATGAGCTAACAAGGACAGAGGATTTTGGCCAACTTAGGGTGAGAAATACTGAGTGATGACTTGAACACATGGTCTTGAACACATGACGATAACTCCCTCCAAGGTTTGCGGAGGAGGGTAGAGGGGGGGGCGCACGACGGTCATTACCTCTGCAACCTTCGGAGGGACTCCATCTCCGAGCACATCCCTGATGAAGCAGAGCTGACTCATGTAACACGAAAGCCCGCAGGTCCTCTTGAAGGCATCTTTCAGCCGTTTGAGTTCGACATCCGTAACTGGATTGAAAGAGGGTGGGGGGAAAGCAGGGTGGAATTAGGTAATCAAGACAAATTTTATGATGTTTAGCTTCATTTTATGGAGCATATAAATTACAATGCACCTTTTAAGCCTCCCTCTGAGCTTTTATGACACTCTACGGAAAGATAGCTTCAGCTACGATGAGCCAAGCAAAGGAAGTACATACCACCACCCAGGTCTATACTGAGAGAATAAACACACATCGGGAGCCCTACACCACCTTATACACGTCCCGGAGGAAAATCAAAAGCCTGACCTGGCTAGCACTTACCCAATATAGGGTCAACTCCAAAATGAAACTAAACCACTGTTGACAATCCTATCATAGTGAATGCCTTGTCTCCACCTATTTATAACTCTCTAAGTTGTTTTGATTGTCCCCATTGCTGTAAACAAAGCTTATCTGCCGGGTTGGCATCCTCTAAGGTCTCAGAAGTCTAGCAAGATTTTTTTGAGTAGAAAAGTGTATTGTAACAGCAGTCTTTGCCATTCTCCAAACTTATATCCCATCCAACTATTGTGAATACCAGCAGTTGCACCTGAGCTAATAATTCGACCATATGGGAATCTGGAGGAAAAACAAAACCATGATTCCACAAAACAAACGGTGAGGTCTGGCATTTCAGGGTGGTGTTCGCCATTTTGTTTTCTGCCCACTGTCTCAAGCTGGAGAACTGTAGGATGATGGGAACACCATCTCTCACTGCAGCATCCCCATTTATTACACTTTAAAGGGGGGCTACTACCACACTACTTGGTGAACCCCATCATCATTATGGGAGAAGCAGCATCTCCACAGGAGAGTTTCCAACAGGAGTGTTTTTCTGAGCTTCCCTTTAAGCATGGAGGTTACTTGGCAAACTTAAATTCGGACTAACTAGTCTCCAACGCAGCAGGGAAGGAAAGTTTTTGAACATGTGAAGAAAACTTCAAAAAGATATTTCCAAAATTGGGGCCGAGTAGGGTGCTGAAATATGAAAACAAACCATCCCAAACTGATCAACTCAGCAAGAGGCGACACAAACGTAATTGGGTGAAACGGAGACTAAAAGATAGGGTTGCTGTGCGATGAAGGGTTTTATTGCTTTATGGCATCAACATTTGGCACGGCAGGTTTTACTGACATCCATCACATAACCTGGTATCCATGTGGATGAAGGCTGGTCGGGAAATATATTTCATAATTTAAAAAAAAACGCCCAATGGGTCAAAGTACGGTACAGCTGACACTGCTCTTCTCCAACCACATCATGTTCCATGAAAAGGCCATAGGGCGTCATCTGCTACAAAGACAGGAAGTGACAGCCCCTCAAACCAAGTCATTGATCTAGTCCAACATGGACTAGATCTGAGGTTCTCAACTGTGGTCCTCCAGAGGTTTTGCACTTCCAGACTCCAGAACCCTTGAGCCTGGCCCATGCTAACGTCCGGAAGGCCAAAGGCTCAGAACTAGGAACCTGCCTGTCAGCCGTCCCAACCTTGCATCCCTGTAGATGTACGGAACTGCAACTCCCATAGCGCTACACTCAGGATCTCACACAGAAAGCTTCTCCCACCCTGTCTTCTAGAGGCAAAGCACAGGGTTTAACAAGCAGATGGAAAGTCATGTTTTAAGAGGAACCCATCATGCTACTGATACCTTTTCAGCAACCAGATTGCTACTGCTCAGATTAAGGAATTTGTTGCACTGCGCATTATTAAGGACTCGCATGACCCAACATGTCAGAAAAATACAGCCAAATACTCTCTGGTTCTCCCTAGTGGTGAACTCTGATATTGCATCTCAGAAAAAAAATTCTAACCATTAGTTTAGATGCTGTCCCAACATAATCACAGAAATCTGTCTTTTAATATATGAAATCAGTTGTCCCTTCACCCAGTAGTCCCTGCTTTGACCAGTAGCAGCTTTCTAATACCATCAGAAAGAGAAGAATACTTCCCATCGTATTCCACCTGAGCCTTTGAACTGGAGATGTCTTGGACCGTCTGCATTAATAATGTGTGCTCAGCAAACAGCCCCACCCCTACAAACTGTCACCAGTGAAATTTGCAAAGGAGAAGCCATGACAAGAACATGGGATGCATTCCACGTTACCGAACATCACAAAGGGGTGAAAGAAAAGAGATACAGGCGCAGGGCTCTTGAGAGCAGCTATAAGGTCTCATTTCTTGACTAGCCCTACTGAAATCAACAGGAGCGCCATCCCCATTCATTTCCCTGGATGCAAATACGATTGGCTCCCTAGACAGCAGATGCAGCCTGCTTCTGCAAAGGAGGATGGGGTTTTAAAAATGAAACCAAAAGCAGATTCAAGCCAACAACTGGTTCCCTGGATTGAGACACGGCTAGGAAATGATATGCATGCGGCATCCATCTCATAAGACAAAATAACAAGATATCAAAGGGGGAGGGTGCAAATCAGATCAGATGGAGTGGCTTGCAGCTTGCGACACTGACCTTCGGTGCCGAATTAGCCACGTGCCCCTGAGAGATGGGAGCCGGCAAAGACTGCTTCCCCCCTCTTAAAGCAAAACTCCTGCAGCAAACTGAAAACGGTGACACCATAAATATTGTTAAGAAGGGGAAAGAATAGATGGAGCTATTCATCAAGACTCTTCAAACGCCGCCATGTCGGCCCCTCCTTCCGTCTTCTCCTTCTGCAAGTGCCCCTGGCGGTAGAAACATAGGCTGCCCATTCTTGTCTGCACTCAGAAGGCCGTCCGCAACCACAACGGAAAAATTTCCGAGTCCCGGGGACAAATTCTCATCCGTCTACCAGTCTCCCCCCATCTATTGCTACCATGAAGACCGAACCACCTGATCTGGACTCTTTCCAGGAGGCTGATGTCAACCGTGTCTTTTCCAGTCAAGGCTAGGGCATATCTGGGAAGCTAGATATCTGAAGCCAGCACTTCCGATTCTGATTTTTAAAAAAAAAATACTGCAAGACCCATGTTCGAATCCCAGCAACTGAAGTTAAAGGAGGGGAAACAGGGAAAAGGTGATGGGGAAAAGACTGACCAATATCCATGGCTTCCCTGCTTTGGAAGCCTCCGGCAGATCTACAAAAGCTATCTGATTTGTATCTGGTGCCTACTGCCATCCATTTCATTATCGCAGACAGAATTTTAATAGCTAGGACGCTTTTGTTTACATACTCAGAAACGCTATTGATTTAGTTCGGCACGGCAAAGGATGTTTTCTCACCCACTTGCACATGAGGATTTAAGGCCCATTTCCCCCATTTCCACTCCTTCTGCCGTTCCCATGCCTGCAAAACGTAGAAAAGCAAGCACATGGGCTAGTACGCATTCAGCCAATATATCTAGGTTGCCCAGGCTTTTTCGATTTCATTCGCCAACTAGTCACCCAATGACAATCCGTCCCCACCAAACACACGCGCTGCGTTTTATTTATCCTTGCCAACCACAAACCTGTGGGCACTCTGAGATGGTTCCACTAGGAACAAGGTACAGTATCTGCAGAGGATCAGCTCCAAAGACCCACTGCAGATGCTGAAAAATGCGGACGAAGCGAGCGCTATACATAGCATTGTCTCTGGCTCCCTCTAGTGGCTAGTTCTGGTGGATACACCATGGAAATACATATACAAATACGTATTTCTGTGGTTTTTTTTTTAAATGTAATATTTTCAGGCAGCGGAGAAGTGAATCCATGGATGCTGATCTAATGGATGAGGGTGGCGGCTATAAAACCAGAAGGGAATTTAGAGAGCCACTTAGTGGAGGATCGCCAGGTTAAATACCGAAGTAAATAATCGATTGCTAGAATTGAAAAAAAAGCAGCCACCAGTTTGGGGGGGGAGGGATGTGCTGCTGTCAAAGGAGGAAAAGAAGTGACTCAATGTTGAACTGGAGGGGAAATAAATACGCTGGGGAGCTGGATCCTGGTGAAGGAGAAAGCTTCAGATACACACACACACACACACACACACACACACCGTCCTTCCGAGGTGGGCCATGCAGGATGGATCTGGAGCATGCCCTGAGCAAGCCTGTGGACACAGAACTTTCTCTCCACAGCCAATACAAAGTCGACAAAATCCTCAGTCGCTCAGAAAACGGGACTGCAAAGCCAAAGATCTGATGGATGGAAGACTTTCTAACCTCAGATGCCGGCCTCCCCTTCTTGTTCCTGATCTGCACATTCGCCGGGACAGGCTCCCTCTTTCCTTTCTCCCCTTTCGGGCCAGAAAGTTTGCAGCCCTTTAGAAAGCCGCTTAAGGGGAGATGAGCAGGGGTGAGCCACTCCCTTGAGGCTCCCTTGGGAAGGCACTCAAGCGAGAGCTTCATTAAGTCTAAGGGAAACTCTGCTCCTTAGCTAAAATCCCCCTACGAATCATCATCACGGTCCTAACAGATCTTCTGCCCAACGCAAACCGTGAGGATCCATTTAGCGATCGAGACGGCAGCGAACGAAGGAGGCGGCTGGAACAAATGCATGGATGGAAATCCACACCCAGCAGGCGAATGCCATTTCAATCAATATTAGGCGGTTCCTAATCCAAAGGCTCCCACCCTTTTTGCCTCCGGGGGACGGGCGAGAGGCTGCAAGACTACAATTCCCAGAACCCCTCCATCATTACTTAGTATTATATAAGAGATCAAACTTTCCACCAAAAACCTAAGTACCAGTTAAATATCAGTGTAATCTATGTATGCTGTTCCAATATTGCCTTTTTTTTTGTAGGTCTAATAGTATGTATGCTGTTCCAATATTGCCTTTTTTTGTAGGTCTAATAGTGCTATTGCTCACTGGAAGGACCGATCCTGAAGCTGAGGCCCCAATCCTTTGGCCATCTCATGAGAAGAGAAGACTCCCTGGAAAAGACCCTGATGTTGGGAAAATGTGAAGGCAAGAGGAGAAGGGGACGATGGAGGACGAGATGGTTGGACAGTGTCATCGAAGCAACCAACATGAATCTGACCCAACTCTGGGAGGCAGTGGAAGACAGGTGGGCCTGGCGTGCTCTGGTCCATGGGGTCACGAAGAGTCGGATACGACTTAACGACTAAACCACAAAAAATGGTGTTATTTCAAAGATCTGCATATTTTATAAAATTTCACAGCACGGTCCCCAAAACTGACTGTGCCTGGGTTTGTTTTGTTTTTCAATAACGTGGCCATTCCAGGGGATGCCAGAGTTGAAGATAAAGAACTGGAAAACTTAACAAAATACAGAGACCTGGCAATAAAAATGACTCGCTCGTGGACGAAACACATTTCAGTTTGAATGTAGAAGACCCCAGATTTCACTCCCGGGATTTCCAGATAAAACATGCCAGGTAGCAGGTGGCAGGGAATATCCTCCCTTCTCAGACACAGGGCAGAAAATACCCAGATATAAAGTACGTAAGTGACTCTGAGTTGGCACAAGGTGGCCACCTTTCTTCGGAAAGGCTGTATTTACTTTTTAATTTCAAGGGCTTTTACCAATGCATTACTGTATTTGCATAAAGGCAGCCAACACCCAGCCTTTGCCCCTTTTGAATAAACAGAAATCTGCCAGAAACATCTCGCTGACCAGCAGCTGGAAAATTTTCCCGACCGTTCGTGGGTTACGAAAGAAGACCAAAGCAAAGCGTGCTGCTTCCACGCTGCCCCAACAGCACTTAAAGAGTCTCGACTGCAATACTGCAGTTTAAGCGCTGCCCCTCTAGACTCCTCACAAGTAAAGGTGCACCATAAAGGAAAGGAAAGCAAAACATGTGGAAGAGAGAAAACAGGGAAAACCGAGAGCATTCAAGGCAGCTAAAAAAAAAATGAACCTTCAGCAACCAGACAGAGAGGAAGCTAAACAAAGCTTCAGACACAGGGTAATTCGGCAAATAAAGCTAGAGAAAATTGCTTGAGCCCTGTTTGCCCAAGTTAAACAAGGAGCAGCCAGCGCTGGAAGATCCATCTGCTAGACAAAGAGATGGTGTGTGCATTTTCTGAAAGAAGGCAAACATTATGACGATGACAACACCCATATTATATGGTCTTAGGACATGCGGCTTTGTTACATGTGCTAAAGTGAGGTGCAGCTATTTTATATGCTGCTGAGGTTATGGTGAATGTCAGTTATAGTGGGGCTAGGCAACCTGGCCCTTGGCCGGGTGTCCTGGCCGGGTGGATCTGATTTAAATTTAATGTACATTTTGAAAAATCAGATTATTTTTGCTGATTTAAAATTTTCTAATTGTTTTTTAAAAACAGCGATTTAAATTGTTCTCTTTTTAAAAATTTAAATAAACACAATGATTTTTATCCACCCTG